TACTATAGAGAACCTATCTCTCCATACACTCTCTTGATTTTAGAGTGTACAGGAACAAAGAAAAAGAAGGAAGAGGAACTGAACCCGCTCTGATACCACGATGTAAATCAGTCCTCTAATATCAAGATTAAACTTAGTGATTAGCAGAATAAAACAGGTCTGAATAACTGTATAAGAGAGGAAGATGGCGAAGAGAAGAGGTAAGAGAAGAAGAAGTCTAATTATTCTCCCTTCTCCTCTAACCCTATTTTATTAATATCTAAATATTTGATGATGACAAGAATACCCTTAAGTGGGCGGCCAGCTTGGCAGTTACATAAAGAAAATAAAACAAGAATAAATAACAGSCCCATTAAGTGAGGCCCATCAACATAAGATAAAAGATAAAATAAAAGATATCACAAGAGAGGCTGTTAGGGCCCATTCGGCCCAGTCTCTTTACAGATGGACAGTGGCAGCACCTTTAACTTCATAACCACCATTTTGGCTCATCAGTTGGGCCTGACAATCCAACCCATTCCACATTTTAAGGTGCAAGTGGCGATGGCAACATTCTAGGCTATGAGGGAGTCTACCAAGGGGTGAGAATTAAGGTCCAAGGACACCAATTTCAAATGGATCTTCACCCATTGGAGTTCAGGGGAGTGGACCTGGTGCAAGGAGTACAGTGGCTATGCTAGTTTGGGCATGTAGTTTGTGACTGGGCCCGATTAACAATGGATTTCCTAGTGGATGGACAGTCGTGCCATTTTAAGTGGGGTTAATCCCAATTCCCCTCATATTGTGGGCTTGGTTTCCATCATTAAGGACTGCCTCTATACCAATCAACCTATTCTAATACACATTTCAGCATCAAAGAACCTTCTTACCACACCACAGAACCAGCAGGACCTTACCCAGCTCCTACAATAGTACCAAGATGTTTTCTCTAAACCACAAGAACTACCACCAATATGCAGACAAGACCACCGCATACCCACCCTACCAACTCCAGACCCTACCAGTACCCCCATTACCAAAAGGCTGAGATAGAAAAACCTGTTGATGAATTGCTTACCAAAGGGTACATTCAACCGCCCACCAGCCCTATTCATCCCCCACCTTATTGGTTAAAAAGAAAGATGGCACATGGAGATTCTGCGTAGAGTATTGTTCCTTGAATAAAATTACGATCAAGGACCACTTCCCCATACCGGTAGTGGATGAGTTAAGGGCAGCTGCAGTGTTTTCTAAGCTGGATTTGAGGGTAGACTATCATCATATACAGGTGCACCCTGAAAATGTGCCCAAGACAACCTTCAAGACTCACAAAGGACACTACGAATTCTGGAGATGCCCTTTGGTCTCACCAATGCCCCTTCAACTTTTCAGTCATTGATGAACGAGATCTTTAAGCCATATTGGTGTACAGCCCAGATTGGACCCAACACCTAGAACACCTTGCCACTACCTTGTACACCCTCAAGCAATACCAGCTTTCTTCTAAGCCCAGTAAATGTGTATTTGGATAAGGGAAGGTCCATTACTTGGGCCACATTGTAGAAGCAGGAAGGGTACATGCCAATCCAAAGAAGATTAAGCACATGATTGATTGGACCCAACCCACCACAGTAAAGGGCCTACATGGGTTTCTGGGTTTAACCGGTTATTATTGTCGGTTTATACAAGGGTACGACTCCATTGCTGCCCCCCTCACATAGTTGTTAAAAAAGGAAGCCTTCACTTGAAACCCTCAAGCTCAATGGGCCTTCGAAGACCTCAAGCAGGCTGCCACTTCACCCCCAACACTAGCATTGCCTGACTTCACTAAATGGTTTGTGGTTGAGTATGATGCCTCTGGAATAGGTATCAAGGTAGTTCTGATGCAGGATGAACATCTAGTTGCCTTCCTCTCACCTCAAGCCTATGCCCAATCCTCATATGAGAAGGAACTTCTGGTAGTGATGTTAGTGGTTACTGGGTGGAGATCTTATTTACTAGGTTGGCGGTTCACCATTAAGACCGACCAATGAAGCCTTAAGTATTAGTTGGGCCAGCCCTCTCTCAATCCAAAACAGCAACGTAGGGTGGCGAAACTCACGAGGTTCGACTATAAAATAGAATATAAGCCTAGGCCCACTAATAAGGCCACAAAGGCTCTATCACGGGTAATGGAATTGAACCAACTCGCCATCACTGAGCCCATCTACCTATTGGCTAACCAACTCAAAGAGGAAGCCTGAGTCAACCCAGAACTTGCTTGGATTTGTAAAGCCTAGGGATGGCAATTTCTACCCTACTCAATGGCTACCCGCCCTGTCAGGGAGGGTTTTGGAGCGGGGACAGGTTTTAGGATTCTACAACCCGTACAAGTATGGGTAGGGTACAGTATTAAGCTAAACCTGACCCTCCCAAACCCGCATATTGTTGGAAAGCATATAAATTTTATGTGTTTTTTACATCTCTTAATCAAATGATTGGAAAATTTGTTGTTGGTTTTTGTTATTTTATTTATTGCTTATATATAACAAGAAATAATAGGAAATTAGATACAAGTTCTAAACTCAACCCACCCCCACCCTTGAATGTGGTGAGGAACTGAGGATAGGGTCGAGGAGGTTTTGCATTTTCATGTGTGGAGGAGGGTTTGGATTCTCAAAATCCAACCCACTATGGGTTTTGAGGCAGGTAAGGGTTGGGAGGTTTAGGGAGGCAGGTACAGTCTAGAATTTACAAAACCTTCCCCGAACTCACCCCATTGCCATCCCTAGTAAAGCTTGGGCCCAAGACCCCTAGTCCACTCCTAGGTATAAGGTGCTTCAAGAGGATTTATTTTACAAGGGGTGCCTAATTATCCCTAATTCACCTAAGTATATATCAAAGCTTCTCCAGCTATTCCACAGTTCACCATTAAGCGAGTACTCTGGCATACTAAGAACCTATAGACACTTTGCCTCTCATTACTTTTGGAGAGGGATGAAGAAATTAGTCAGAAATTTTGAAGCCATGGCCCCAGCAGGTTTACTTTAGCCTCTCAATATTCCCGAACTGGTATGGAATGAAATCTCCATGGATTTCATAACCGGACCCCCCAACTTCAAATGGTAAGTCAGTGATTTTAGTTACAGTTGATAGACTTACAAAATCTCACTTCTCAGCTCTTCCTCATCCCTACACTGCACCGCATGTGGTTGAGGTCTTTTTGAGAGCCGTAGCCAAGATGCACGGCACTCCCTAGTCTAAAGTATCAAATAGGGATGCAACCTCTATGAACAGGTTCTGGCAGGAGTATTTTTGCCTTCAAGGAACCAATCTCCACAGTTCCACCAGCTACCACCCTCAATCAGATGATCAGATAGAGGTGGTTAATCACTGCCTGAAGACCAACCACAACCTCAAGTGCTTTCTAGGAGATGGACCCAAACAATGGGCATGGGTGGAATACTGGTATAACACCACTTACCAGTCCTCGGCAGGCTTGACACCCTTTAAGGCATTGTATGGGAGAGAGGCCCCTTCTATTGTTCTCCATGAGAAAGGAGCTACAGATGTGGCAACAGTGGAGGAACAACTCCTAGCCCAAAATGAGAGTTAAATGTTTGAATTCAATCTACAAAAAGATCAACAACAGATAAAGAAGCACTATGACAAGAAGAATCAGTTCCTTGAGTTCCAAGTGGGGGAACAAGTATATCTCAAGCTTCAGTCTCACTGCCAGATTTCCATTTCTAAGAGGGCTTGGCAGAAACTTTCCCCCAGGTATTTCAGGCCATACACCATTTTAGAAAAGGTTGGGACAGTTCCTTACAAACTGAATTTACCCCCCACCTCAAAAATCCACCCAGTCTTCCACATCTCCCACCTTCAAAAAAGCCTGGGACCAGCTAATGTTGCATGCCAAACTTTGCCCGCATTCACTGAGGAAGGCCAGCTCCTAGTGGAATCCACGAAAATCATTGATTTTAGGTGGATCAGATCAGGGTACAAGATAATTCAAGAAGCCAAGGTAGTCTGGTGTAACTTACTGGAGGAAGATACAACATGGGAACCATACTTACAGTTACAGAGCCAATTCCCTCATATAGACCTTGTGGTCAAGGTCCAACTCAAGGGGGAGAGACTATTAGGGCCCAGCCCAACAGTGGCCATACATCAACAATGGCTCAAGCCAACTCAGATCTAGTGCAACAAGTCTTCCATCACAGGCCACGTCAGCTCAAGGACCACTGAGATCATGATTGTTCACAGATGCCTTTTTTATTCTGTTATTGCTTTTTGGTTACTTTTTGTTATTGCCTTTAGTCTGTTATGTATCTTGCCAATCATGGGAGAGCTCCTATAATACAGCTCACTCCCACCCTATCAAAGGAACAAGAGAGAATTATCCAAATTCCCTTTTTCTCTTCTTCTCCAAGGAGGCTGAGCTCCCTCAAAGAGGCTCCTGTGTTGGGAAGTAACCCAACAAATTACAAATCTTAATGATAAATTTACTATGAACATTCTTAGACCAAATAAAGTATCAGCATCCAATGAAGATGCTCACAAACAAAAATTGAAATAAAGAATGAAAAACAGAAAACACTTAAAATTTCTGGAGGAGTTTGGCTACATGGAAAACTTACAGATGTAGCATCAGTCAGTGTAGGTGTTCGCTTATTCAGAAGAACCTTTTCCTCCTTGGTGAACAACTTACGAGATCCTATTCATTTAAGCATACAATAACAAGATATTGGAAATTCATATTTCAAATATCACATACAATAAAGACAATAAACCGATTTTAGAAACTTAACCAGCAATTAAACTAAGGATTTCTAATGCTACACCATAACACTAGATTTATATACATATATATATATATATATACACATCAAATTATTTGTTAAAAAAGCAACTTATGTGCTCCTTTTGTTGTTGGGGAGTTAAGATAGTTTACCTCCCCCTTTTGTAATTAAAGTTTCACAAAACTTATTCATTAATAAAGCTTATTGTTATTGATCAAAAAAAAAAAAGCAACTTATGCGCTCATTAAGTGCATAATAGTGATTTATGTTATTTATCAACAACAAATATTCTAGGAGAAAAAAAAAAAAAGAAAACATAAGCACAAAGTCTTCATTCCCCAAAAGCAAAGGATATCCAGATATTATAGAGCCATTATGTACAACAAGCCATGACAACCAACCCATTAAAAAGTGGAAATAGAGAGGATACCAAAGGTGAGGAGGAGCAGGCAATGGCTCCACAGTTTCATATTAGGGATTTCCTGAATGATCTTCACCGGATCATGTCAGGAGGAACAAGCAATGGCTTCACAGCAGCCAAAGAGTGGCCTCTTTGTGGGATTGAACAAAGGTCATACTGTAACAAAGAAAGAATTGGCTCCACACCCATCTGACAGAAAAGGAAAAACAAGTAAGAGGGTACACTTCGTGAGGAACCTGACCAGGGAAGTTGCCGGGTTTGCACCTTATGAGAAGAGAATTACTGAACTTCTCAAAGTTGGGAAAGACAAGTGTGCCTTAAAGGTGGAAAAGAAGAAGCTTGGTACTCACAAGAGAGCAAAGAAGAAGCATGAGAAAATGTCAAGTGTCCTGCACAAGATGAGGTCTGCTGGTGTTGACCACAAGAAGAAGTGAGAGCATGCATCAGCTGCAAAAATGACTAGAACAAGTAGAGTTCAACTGTTTTCTGTTTTGATTCCAATGAAAGTTCATTAGTTAAGAGGTGTTTGGTTTTTGTCTCTTGGATCTGAAGTGAAGATTTAAATTTTGTGCTTAACTTGTTTTAGTCTATATTCAGATCCAATTGTGGACTTCTTTAGATGGCAAGGGAAAATTATTAGATTCTATCTTTACATATCTTTCGTGATAGAATGCACCAAGTGGTCTTACAGCTCTGAATGTGTGAACTAGAGTTTGCATGTGTTGTTACTGGACTGATTATTGGTTTATGATGACCTAATCCATCACAGGATTTCATGTATTAGATTCTATCTTTACATAAGATATAATTATGGCCTTCTTTAGATGGCAAAGGAAAATTATTAGATTCTATCTTTATATATCTTTTTTTTATCAGTAAAAATCTTTCATTAATAACAGAGAGATTAAGATACAATAGCTAAAGATTGCATAGGAATAAATTGCAATCTCCAGCAATCAGTAATAATTCTGCCCAATACAATGAAGATCTATTTTCCCCTTGTTTTGCTAGGGTATCCGCCATCCCATTTGCATCCCTTTTAACCCAACCAAACTGAGAGTTGAACTTCCTTGCAAGTGTGTCAATTTCTCTGAAAATAAACTTGAGCTTCCAAGGTGCTGATGTGATGTTTTTGGCCCAAGAGATGACCAATAGAGAGTCTCCTTCAATTTCTAAGTCCGTTGTTCCTATCTGCTTAGCCATCTTTAGACCTTGAAGTAGGGCTAGAGATTCAGCCTGTATTGAGTCACCATAACCTATTGGTCCAGAGTAGAGTGCCACCACCACACCCAAATAATTTCTAAACACACCCTCTATGCCTGCCCTTCCAGGGTTGCCAAGAGAACTCCCATCGAAATTCAGTTTTAGTTTGTACCATGCTGGTGGCTTCCATTCCTTGCTTACAAGAACTTTGGGTACATCTGTTCTATCTTTATATATCTTTTGTGATACAATGCACCAAGTGGTCTTACTGCTCTGAATGTGTGCACTAGAGTTTGCATGTGTTGTTACTGGACTGATTATTGGCTTATGATGGCTTAATCCACCACAGGACTTCAGTAAAAAAAAAATCATCATGAGTAACCTTGGGGAGTTGGAGCAGAAATTAACAGATTAAGAAATGCTGCTGCAGAAAAATCACATGCACAGCAGCTTTACCTTGATACATGGCATGGATGGTGCCAAGTACTCAAGTGTCTAAAGATGCCCAACACTTCTAGGGGCACGCTGATAAATAAATACTAAATCATTATAAATATTGCCAATAAAATACTAAATTATAATAAATAATGTTAATATATTAGTAAAATAGGAAAACTAATCAAAAATATTGAAAATCAAACCACTTAAAACTCATTGAATGTGTCATCTTTTGCGACACATTGTGTAACAGTGTTTTTCTTTTTTTTTGGCTGTGTAACAGTGTGAAGTATGAAAATTCACGGCCAACTTCAGCTTGGATTACTATTAGCATATCATCCCAAGTGTTGGCACAGTCTCCAAGTGCCAGCAGAACTAGACTGAATAGCTTTGGCATGCCTTGATTATACTATACATCAGATACATCACAGAAATGGGTAAACTAATAATCTTTGAATTAGTTCTCAACATTAAGCAGATATTTTAATAAGAAATGGCACCAAGCATATACAAAAAGCTAGTTGGGTTTGGAAGCTACAAGGTAAAGGCACTATTAAGGATAATGTACTCTAGGATGCTTATCCTCATTGAGAAATAGCAGACCACAATTGTGAAGTGAAATGCGGCAAGGTTTTCAATTAGTTTTCAGTTCTACCATCACTTCCTTTATACCATCCTCACGTATTACAGCCGCAGCCACCAGAATTCCCCACCCCCACTCCCAGAGAGAGAGAGAGACTTTCAGAACAATAAAGTCTTCTCAAAAGAGTCCTCCATTTATAAGTGAAGGAGATATTGATTTTTGTGACCAAATATGTAAATTAAGCAGCATTGTCTTTCCAGTTAGAATTATGCCTTGGCAATTAGTAGCTTCATGTCTATAAGTGCCCCAACCTTAAATTCTTTCTCTACAAAAATAAAGATTATTGAAATATAACCATAGATTCAAGGTCCATGCTGAAATTCACTTACAACTATGATGTCAACAATAAGGCTATGTTTGGTTTGAAGGAAAAGGTAGGGAAAGGAAGGGAAAGACAGGGAAACCTATACAAGGTTTGTAAAGGTTTCCTTACCTTTCCCTACCTTTTCCTTCAAACCAAACATAGCCTAAAGGAACGAAAACCACAAAATAACGCATGCAACATCCAAAAGAGAAGTTACCTTGGGATTTCTTGCTAGAGTTTTCCCCTGGATTATATTTCCCGCTATTAAAAAACTCTGAAATGTCCTCCAGTGTTCCCTTATAAACGGCCAATCTGGGATTCCTAGGCGCCACTCGACTACTCGAAGGAAATTCAGCCTCCCCCAGTTGATTCACTTCTTTATCCTCCTTACCCACCTCCTCTTTCACAGGAAAAGTAGGATTGTCAAGAACCACCGGACTCAGCTGTGACAACTTGGCATCCCGATATGCCAAGTTCTCCTCCATATCCTTGAAGTGGGCCGCCGCCGCCTTTTTCTTCTCAATGCGACTTCCAAATTCCAATTTCTGAGCAATTTTACGCTTCTCTTTTTTAGTTATATTGATTTCTGCCTGCAATTCCTTCCACTTATCAGGAACCAAGTTCTCCGGCTTCGCCACTGCAGTTGGCTTCTTCTTCTCATCGAATTTGTTTTGAAGATAAGGGTCTTCGAAGATGCCTTCCTCGAAAACAACACAATCGCCAACAACAAGTTCATCTTCGTAGTCGCCTTCTACTTGTTGCTGGGATGACTGCGAGAAGGAAGTAGAAAAAGCAGAGAGAGAACGTGATGGGATGTTTCTTGAGAAAGTGAGGGTTTGGACTGAGAGACGGTCAAGAATGGAGAGGGAAAATGGAGAGTTGGGAATTGAAAAGAAAACTCGGGGGAATTGAGGTTTCAGTGAGAGGTTGGGCGGGGTCATCTTCTAGTTCTACGACTTGTTTCGCAAAAGAACGTTCGGTTGCTATTCGTTGCTAATAGCAACACGACGCAATATAGCCCAATTCTAAAAGGATCAAGGGTACCCCTTGGACCGGGATGATCGGACTGGTTTCGGTCGAGCCAGATTTTTTGGTTTAAACTGAAATTTATGGGCGAGGATCGGGATGGATGCTTTGGTTCCTATGTATATGTTCTATAACCACATAATTCGTTCTATATATTAAAATGAAAACTAGTGTAAAAATATCTGAAATATTGTTCTTCTCTCAATGGTTGTGTGGTTCGTGATTGCTCTATGACCATTGACCAGTAAACTGATACTGAATGAATTTGGATTCTCGAGTTTCAGTGGTTCAGCCAAGGGGCGTCAATGGATCGGTTTTGGGTTTGACCTCGTCTAAATTAAAATCAATTTGGATGGATGGTCCAAGGTATTTTATTGGACGGACCAATAAGATATATTTAATTGGACCAGTACAATTAATTGTCCAATGTGTTTATTAGATTGGATTGAACCTGATCCATCCATAATGGATTTATTTATGCTGGATTATATTGGATTAAATCAATATCTAATCCATTGATAGAAGATAAGAACATAAGTGTCAATGGACCAGACTTGGGTTGGAAATCGGTACCAATCTAAATTAAAACCAATTTGAATAGACTGGACGGTCCATCCATAATGGATTTATATATGTTGGATTATATTGGATTTAATCAATATCTGGTCCATTGATACAAAATAAGAATACAAGTGTCAATGGATCGGACTTGGGTTGGAACCAATCTAAATTAAAACCAATTTGAATAGATTAGACGGTTCAAACATTGAATTGAAGTGGTACAAAATGGTCCTAAGTATTCATCAGATTGGATTGGATTTGGACCTGGTCCGTCTATAATACTCATATTGAACCGGATTGAATTGGATCAAATCCGGTTCAATTGACACCTCTGGTTCAACCTATAAAGATACTCAATACGTGGGCTTAAGGTTTAAATTCTAACACTGATTGAACACCATGAATCCAACCCGGTTACAGTACAGCCCTACCTACCCGGCCACCCCTTAACCCCCGGCAATGCGTAATATATAATACCAAAAGAAAAGGAGTAGAAAACATAATTTAGCCAAAAGTAGTGTTTGCGAAGAATTGCTCTTAAAAACATTACAATGTGAAGTCAAACACTTTTAATCCATTTTTCAACGAAAAAAAAACACTTTTAGTCCCACAGCAAAAAGGTAATTGGGGCTTTGTACTCTTGAACTTTAAAATCTTGAAGCCCATCCAAGCGCAACCTTAATTAGTAATGTTGAAACGGACTACTTGTAAGGCAGCAAAACCCATACAAACGGAAGGCCCTGAAGGTTGTAGAAGACGAGACAATGGCGTAAAATAAGAATCAAGTAGAAAAGAAACCGTCCTAATGGTATTATTGTCATTTACCAAAGCAGACTATATAACCTATCAAAAAAAAGAAAAAAAAAAGACTATATAAAATATTCACCTTGCTTGCACACTTTGGCAATACTTTAATGTGCTATTGAAGCATCATATCAACCAAGGTTCAAGGAATTGACATGCATCTTATTAAGAGCACCCCAATATGCCCCTACAGAGGGTGTAGAGCCTTAAACCAACCCCCTGAACCGGCTTTGAAAAAAATTAAAAATATATATATATCGGATATATCGATATTTAGAAACTTGGTATCAACAGAGTTCCCAGAGAAGCAATATAGACAGACCTCCCAATGAAAAGTTGCGCAGTAGATGGTGTGGTTAAGAAACAAATTCAAAAGATAAGTTTTTCTTTTGTTGCAGATGAATGGGTTTGAGTTTCTCAAAAGTCTCCTCACCCTTGCTCTATGGTTCTCTTGTTTGCTTTCTCTATATGCAATAGGAATGTAGGATGGCGATAGCAGATCTAAGCCTCAGTGAACCTTGCAGGCATGTGACAAGTTCTTTGTAACTATCAATAATCTCCATCCAGGAATCTAAAGTTTATGAGATCAGTATCAGTGTTGTTTAGAAAGAACGAAAGAGAAATAGAATCAAGACCAGATGGACATTTTGCTTTTGCCCCCACCTGTCGCAACAAGGCAGCAACACTATCTAATTAAAACTACATTACTACGCCAACTGAATAGTGGCTTGGTTGATACTTAGTCCAGGTAGACTGATGATCATGTCAATGACACAAAGAACTCATCCCACAAAACAATTTTTAGTGATTAAATTTGGCCAAGAAAAAACCGTGATTAAAAAGAGATATAGTCCACAAGCTCCTCATCCTTCTAGATCCAAAACCATTACGATGAGATAGTTGAAAAGGAAAATGTCTCTAACAACGGAAGATGGAATACCAAACTTGCTTAAATTTATACTAAACCCAAATTCAGAGCAAGGAGCGTGAATCTCTGTAGATGTGTCAAACCCTTAACTAGGTGTAGTTTTTATCAATCCCTCAAATAGGAGTCATGAGACATGAGAACCAACTATCTTGCATAAACATTCGGTCGACGGCCATAACCTCTTTCTGGGCTACCATAAGGAGAATAGGGTAGAGATCGAGAGCGCTCTCTTTTTGATCTGCCTCCATAAGGTGAGCGTCGAGGAGAATAATCACGGCCTCCTCGATATGGTGACCGCCTTGGAGACCGCCGGTACCCATAGTCATCACGACCACGGTATCTACCACGATCACCTCGATAGCCTGACACAGACCCAATAACCAAAACAAGGAGAAAAACTTGTGATGACACAAATAAGAAGCAACATCACATTGATACTAGAATCCAAGAATAAAAATTGATAAACTAACCTGATTCTCTGCTGCTTTTCACCCCAAGATAGTTTCCAGGTGTAGGTGTCCTTGGGCGCTTCCTCCTTGACTGAAAGGTAACAAAGGAACCTCAATTCTCTATTTTTCCCAACTAAATTTCAGGTTCAGCAAAGTATTTGCATCAAAATAATAGATCAATAATAAGAATTGCATGCACCAGAGGCACCACCACATCAAAGACAAGGGTAAATTAAAAATAAGTGCACAAGTATAAATAACTAAACCTAACTAAGGGGAACCCGTAGTTATCAAAAAAACCACCAAGGGGAACCCGTGGAAGACACAAGAAGGCCAAAGGAAGAAAAGAGGACAAAACAAACGCACAAAACATACTCAGGCACAAGAGCAATAGCACCATTAAATGAATGCCAGGTGTAAGGTACCATAAATGCCCGATTAGAGAGAGTTGGTGGTATTGTCCGTTGATTAGTTGATAGAGTTGGAGGTGAACCCTGAGGTTGTTTAGTTGTTGGGCTATTGTTTAAGCTGATCAGATGCATGAGAAAAGCTGTTAAGCTGGCCACTGATCAAGCTGTGTGACTTAAGTTGAGATGGATGAACTCATCATCTTTGATTGCTGCCAATAAAGCTGACGCAATGTCTTCTGAATATAATCAACCAAAAACCTCCAAGTCAAAACCAATAAAAATTCATCACTCGATATTACCTCCCGAACCGAAGGTACAAAAAGATTTACCTTCTCAACAGTTATGTACCGGCCTTCCAAAACTGACTGGTTCAAATGCTTGATGCAGCGGTCCGCATCCTCGATCGTGTCCATAGTAACAAAGGCAAAACCCCGTGATGCACGTGAACGAGGTTCCACAACCAGACGACATGAAATTACCTAACAGAAGAAAAGAAAACAATTAGAACAGAGATTATGAAATAATAATAGGAGCAGTGCTTATGCACACTTTTAGAGACACACCTTTCCCTCTTTTGAGAAATGATCCTCAAGCTCTCTTTCCGTGACCCTTGTAGACAGACCAGTCACATAGAGTGTATTGCCAGGATTTGAAGCATTATCCCTGCCATGTAGTTGCTAATTATAGTTGAATGTTCCTTAAACAACAGTATGCTAGCTTATAAGAAATGATTCCAAAAGTGAAACAAACCTTCCACGACTTCCAGACCTTGATCTGGACTGGGATCGGGACCTAGGCCTTGACCTAGATCTGGATCTAGACCTTGATCGTGCTCTCAAAGGGGGGGAAGGAGATCTTGAATACCTGTAATATCCAGAGCACTAAAAACGTAAAATGAGGATATAAAAGTATACAAATATGGAAGACAGAGAGAGAGAGAGAGATGCTTTAATGAAATGGTATGACAGTTTCCATCTGGGTTTCATGATGCATCTTCATACATTGGAAGTTAAGCCTAGTTTGCTTGCAATACAATGTGATTTGCAGTGGTGCAAAAGTCTGGAAGTGCAAATGAGTTGAATGTAAATTCTGATTTATTTTGTTTTAAAGTTTACTTTGATTTGTTTGATTGGTATGTAAATGAAGTAAAATAAAACCCAAAGTAAAGTGAAGTAAAATCCGAAGCAAAAGTAAATCAGAATTTACACTCCACCCACATGCATTTGTATTAGTGTAAATGAAATTGCTTTGCAAACAAATGGAGCCTTAACTGTGTTAAAAAAGGAAGAGCAAAAGGCCAAAAAACATGGTCAGTTCGAGGCATATAATTCAAGTTTGAAGGAAGAAAAGCCTCATGCCCACCAAAATGTAACAAAATTGGAAAGAAAACTTTAATAAAATAGTGAAATCTGGTAATACTTGTATAGAAGTGCATGTATGATATATGAATGCGTGCATGTAAAGCTGAAATGCATATTTATCATGTGATACAATGAGAGAGACAGAGAGGCCAATAGGATCAAAAGATGATTTCAACTAAGATTTGTTTTCTGTCTGCTATTCTGCTTACACACCAACAAGAAGAAGAAAATTGTTTGGCCATGCAATTGCAAAGAAAACAAAGATAGGTTATAAATCACCTTATCCTAACCCTAAGAAAAGTTTTAAGAATTTGGTGTTGTTCAAATATCTTCAAATAGATGACGGATGATAGAGAATTTATAACTAACTCCATCCACCATATAGGCCTTTTCCCTTTTGAAATCTTGGGCATATTACTTCGAAATGGTCCAGCATACCGCAAAACAGAGCAACCTCCACAAAAAATTGCTTCTTGCATCTTTTTAATAACACTAACAAGAATCCTATAAGGCTTCCACACCAACTATACCTTCATTTCATCTTCCAAAGTGCCTTTGCTTTTTTGCAATAATCCAAACCACATTTTCTTCTGAGGTTAATAAAGAAAGCAACTCCAAGTGATTGCACATTCTCTAAAGAGTTTTTTTATTGTTTTCTACAGAGAACCTATTAAAACATCATTTATAGTCCCTAAAAACCAATATATAACGCACCTAGAATAAATTTAAAAGTTAAAACCAAATAATCTAGCCCACAGTAAGGACTTGGTACGACACCAAGCCTAGACTAAGAATTTTAAGTAATCACCAGAATCCACTACTCACTTTGAAGCATCCCAGTAACATAGTTCCTAAAATCCCAGTGCTTGTCCCTAACTCCTAACTTCTAAGAAACCACCCTGTCTCTAGAGAAAGCAGACCGTTCTAAGACCTCAAAAGTACAACTAATGCTTATGACTGTTAAAAGACAGAGAAGTCTTAACTGCCAAGTTACTATTTTAGTAGTTCAACGAAAGGGTAATGTGAGACAGAACACACATAGTAAAAGATGGATACACCGTAAGCACACATTATTAATTCACCAAACATAGAAAATCCAACACAAGTCACCCAACTAAATGTTTATTACATGATTACTCAGACTGAAATCTTTCATTGCAGCTTCGCGTAACTGCAATTCTATTGTTCAGTGCTTTTGGAGCTTTACTGGCGAATACTTAACCTAAATGCCTTCACTCTAAAGCGTGATAAGATAAATTAAATAGTCATTCTCGTGGTGATCGTAACCAAGGTTCTTTTTCTCTGTCGGGCCAAAAACAACAAATTACCACCAAGGTTACGTGAATTTGCAGTTCAATCTAGAACACCCGATCTTTCGCATCATATAAACCGAAAAACCCTAGATCCGTGCAGAAGAAGAAAAAAAGATGAAATGAGATCGGCATATTAGCAGCATGAAGGATGTGAAAAATACCAACAAACAACCCTAAGATTACAAACCAAATAAAGTGGAGCTTTGTTTCAGTTCAAACTGCTCTGGGTACCAGAAGAAATAGAGACCAAATAAAAGGCTTCTTGGTGGTTACCTTTTACGAGGCGAATCGGCCTGCGGCAAGAAGGAAAGAAAAATAAAGGAATACAGAGTCAAACGAAATACGTTACAAAAGAGACGGTGATTAAACAAAAAAAGAAGTAAGGCAAATTGCAAAGAGAGAGAAGGAAAAGGAGCTTGCCATCTTCAGAGTTCAGACGAGCGCAATAAAACCCTAGAATGCCAGAAAGGAAGCTAGGTTTTTGCTACAGTGCGCGCTCGGTGGGTGTTTTGCACGCCTGGATCAGGGACTTGCTCTTTACCCGAACTTTGCCTACTAAAAGCGACAGGCTTGTTTAGATATCGAGAAATCGCGATCGGCTTCTACCCGGTCCAACCTTGCATTCAAATATCTACGCATGTAATAAAGCACTGGAGATATTCTCAATACAAGGCAGTAAAGGCTGCAAGCCTTAAGTGAAGTCGAATGATACGAAAAGCGTGCAAATTAAATGGTTTGCCTAGTGACGATGAACCCTTGTATCATGGGGTTGGGGAGATTAATAAATCCCATTAGTAGAATTATGAATTGTTAAGTATTAAATGTGAGCCTAATAAACCTGAATGAAGGATTCGTAATTCCTGATTAGTATCATGTACTTTGGGCTTAATGTCATTTTGGTTTCCGAGACAATTACTTTGGGCTTAATGTCATTTTGGTTTCCGAGACAATTCAGTATTCAAACTTTTAAAGCATGATATGATAATCCAGTACTTATTGTTAATTAGTTGTTAACCAATCGTTAAGTGGCATTTGAAAAATACATAAATGTCATTCGAGTATCATCTAATTTTCTTTATCAACCATCCAAACATTGACAAAAAACTAACATTCTCAAATCCTTGCCTCTTCTATTCAAGAAAGATGGGGTCACTAGAATGTCCACTCAAATGCGACCCCAACTTTCTGGAATGGAAAAGGCAAGGATTGGAGACTGTTATTTTTTTGTCAATGTTTATATGGTTGATAAAGAAAATTAAGTAACACTTAAAGGGCATTTGTGTCTTTTTCAAATGCCACTTAACGGTTGGTTAACAACTAGTTAATGGCAGACACTGGATTATAACATTTTAAAAGTTTGGGTATTGAGTTGTCACATTTTAAAGTCTGGGGACTAAAGTGGCACTAGGCCCAAAGTGAAGGGTACTAATCAGGAATTTTCCCTAAACATTAATCCTACTTTTACATGATTGGGCCCTGGCAAGATGCCGAGAGGATCGGACAGCTAAGAAAACTCGCGCAAGGGGGGTTGGACGGTGATTTAGGACAGTCTGCCATGAAAATGAAACAAAGGTTTCACACCATAGAAGAAGCCAAGAGGGGGCATGAAACGTGTGTGTGCTTTTTGAAGGTATTTTCCAGTAAATGTAAAAAAACATTTTGTACATATATAATGATATGCATGTATCTCTGTTTGTATTGGGTAGGGGTGGCCACAAGTTGAGCTTCTCATAAGTTATTCGATATCAACTCATGAAAAGCTTGGCTCAACTCAGTTATTCGAGTCAAGCTCAAGCCCAATATATAGGCTTGTTTGCTAATCGAGCCGAGTTCAAGTCAAGTGAAGCCTAGCTCGTAAAAGCCTAATCGAGCCTAGTATAACAAAAAATTAATTTATATATGCATATTTATATGTATATGTATACATATACATACATACATATACATATATATATAATAAATGATTTTTATTATATATAATAATAGTTTTATTTTTTATATATAATAGTAAAAAAAATTATAATTCTTAATTTTTTGTATGTAAAATAACAAAATTATTTTTATATGTATATTTTTTATTTTTTATAAAAAGCTTGACTTGTAGTCGAGCTTGAGCCGAGCTGAGCTCAAACTTGCAAGCTTTTGAACCGAGCTAAGCTCAAGCTCAAGTCTAACATTATTTCTACAAGTCGAGCTCGAATAGCCAAGTATTCAACTCAGCACAACTCGAATCCACCCCCAATATTGGGTGTCAGTTTAAGCTAATAATATGCATATGGTAAATAATTAGATATAATTTGAGATGTATATGGTGGTGTAAATATGGAATATATAAATACACAATATATATATACATATAATGAAGCAAGACGGTCCATGTAAGCAGTCCTCTCCTTTTAGTTTCATCATAGGTATTTATCTACTTTGGGCAGATTTCTTAAACTACCTCTACTATTTAGCTAATTGACTAACTCTACCCTTACTGTTTAACTATTGTCTTAAACCCCTACTATTTCTAACATTTTTTTTAAAAGGTAAATATTGTATTAACAAGAAGAAAGAAGTACAAATTCCTTTACCCTAGGTATCCCATCTTAATAATCATTTAATACAAAAGATGATAATGAGTGAGATTTAGCTATTTGGGACACCTTATGGGCTAGACTATTTAAAGTTTCTATGTAGAAAACAGAAATTAACTTTACTAAAGTTCAGAATTAGGTTCCTAGTCCTAAATAAAAGCCAATGGCAAAACCAAGGAAGATCTGTTGCTTTTTGCAAAGCCCTTACAACTTGTTGGGCATCCGAACATATACAGAGTACTTCTCCAAATTTTCAGCACTGAAGCTCCAGTAAGCCCTGCATAATCACAAATAGTTCAGCCTAGACAACATAAGTAACTTGATTAGTTCGACCTCCAATAATTTTTAAACAGGATAAGTTTCTTGATAGGATAATGAAACCATAACTAAATAAAGAGTCAAAAATTTTCCCTACATCAGTAAACACAATTAGATCAGTAGCAAGAGTTATGGCTAGGAAAAATTTATCTTCTAAAAGGTGAACCCTAGGAGCTTCAATAGCATTCAAACTACTCATGGACTGTTGGAAAGATTGGTTGACTAGGTTGGTACTTGCTAGAGGTAAGATTTGACTATTTTTAAAACATTTTCATTCTGAGCATACCAAATATAATAGCAATTCATGGCTATCCATCCCAACACTCTCATAAAGAGAAGATTATCAAATATTTGGTTATACAAATTTTGTATACATGATATCCAAGAACCTTGAAAAATATTTTGCAATTAAAGGTTCCACGTATTACCAAATAAAACTATTTGAGCAAATTGGCAATTAATAAATAGATGGGCTGAGGATTCCACATCTGAATTTCAAAAACCACAGAGTTTTTTGTTGTCTTTCCACAAAAAGAAACTCATTTACTGGAATAAAATCATTAAGAACTCTCCAAAAAAATAATTGGAAATGAAGAGGAATAGCTAGCTTCCAAATCTTAGCAAAGCAAAAGCTAAAACCTGGAGAGATATTTGGAAGGGAAGTTCATTGCTTAATCTTGTATTCCTCTTTAACCGTATATTTACCAGAATTATGATTTGACCAAATCCAAGATATTTCATTGTTTGGTGGGAAGATGGGAGTTCTCAAGATTTTTGACACTTCATCTGAGGAGAATAAAGAACGGATTAGATTGATATTCCATTGGCCTGAGAGGAGTAATTGAGACATATTCAAGTCCCCAAGATAAGGAGCTAAAGGAAAAGAAACCCAAGAAAACTTGTTATCCGATTGAATCCAGAGTACTTGGGAAACATGAAATAAAGAGTTCTCATTTACTAAGTGACCACACTCATAAGCTAATTCAATAAGTTTAGGACAAATTGCTTTCCAGTAGATGGAACCTGAAGAAGCAGTGGAGTAGGGAATAATATTCTGGTTTCCGAGATATTTTGATTTCCATATTTGGGCCCATAACTTATGTTGTTCATTAAGAAATTTCCAGGCAACTTTTATAAGGAGGACTTGATTTACTAGATTTAGATTTTTAAATCCTAGGCCTCAATGAGATTTTTAAATCCTGCCTGGCTAATTGCCAAAGCCCTCCAGTTATTCAGTTTAGCTTTGAGATTGTCTAGAAAATAAATCAAATGAGCATGCTTATTTCTAGACCAAAATAGGGGAAGACCTAGATGTTTAGAATTTTTATTAAGGGGCCCTTTGTTGATTTGTCTTCTAATCATACGTTGAAGCCTAGGATGAATGTGTTTGCTACAGAAAAACCCTAGATTCTTCTATATTAATCAACTGACCAAATGCAGCCTGGAACTTAACTAAGATTTGATGTAAATTATCTATTTCTTCCCTATGGGCCCAAAGAAATAACATCACATCATCAGCGAAGAATAAACGGGAGATTTTTGGAGAGGAAGGGGAAAGAGGGATGCCTTGTAATTTTCCTTCCTGTTCTGCATAAAAAAGAAGTCTAGAAAGACCCTCCATAGCTAAGATGAATAAATAAGGAGATAACGGATCTTCTTGTCTAAGTCCTCTAGATGGGCAAAAATGTCCTTCTGAAGTACCATTGATAAGGACTGAAAAGGAGACTATGGAGATACATTCTTTTATCAGAAGGCAGAAGTCTTCTGAAAACCCAAGGAGAGATAGGACTTTGAGGAAAAAATTCCATTCCAATCCATTATAGGCTTTTGACATATCTACCTTGAGAGCAATATAGCTTGTACCTCGTTTTTTGTGTTTTAGGAAATGAAACATCTCTTGGGTAATGATATAATTGTTAGACATTTGATGACTTGGTACAAAAGCCACCTGGTTTGGAGTAATACACTTATCCAGGATAGTATAAAGTCTGCCAAGTATCAGCTTAGCTATTACCTTACAAATGACATTAATGAGGCTGATAGGACGATAATCTTTTCGTACAATCTACCTTTTTTGGAATAAGTCAAATAAAAGTATGATTCAATCTTTTCAAGAGTTTCTTATTCTGGAAAAATTCCTAGACTACTAGTAATATTTCTGAGCCCATCATATCCCAGTATTCCTTGAAGACAATGGCTAGCATGCCATCTGGACCCGGGGATTTGAGATTCCCTATACTAAAGAGGGTTGATTTGACTTCCTCAGTTGAGGGAATATTTAGAAGCACAATGTTGTCTTCCTCAGTAATTACCAGAGTCATTAATTGTGACATCTCCTCTAACTCTTTAGGGTCCTGGGTTGAATAAAGATTTGAAAATAATCTATAAAAAATTTAGTTATATCTTTATGAGAAGATTTCCAATTATTCTACTCATCTTTGATGCCATCAATATGATTCATTTTCCTCCTAAAAAGGGTACTTTTATGAAAAAGTTTATGTTTTTATCTCCCAGATGTAACCAAATGTGGCGAGAATTTTGTCTCCAGTAACTTTCTAATTGCCACTTAGAATTTTCATACTCCTTGTACAGGCTATTCAGATTGTATGGATTCCTCAATTGTTCAACCTGTAAAATTTGAGCTTCCAAGTTTTTGAGTTTATCTTTCAGTTCTACAAAGGTTTTCCTCCTCT